GGTGTACATAACTTCTCTATGTTTAATTCTATAGTAAATATGATTGAAAATTCTATTAAGGACAAACGAGTTCATAGGTTAAACATTCGACAGCGGATAATGTTAGTTCTTACAAAGCTTAAGTTAAATTTGACTTATGCCACTTTGGGTTCTTTGTTTGGCATTTCAGCTGACTTAACAAAAACTTATATTTATGAATTAATACCTATTTTGAGCGACAATTTACGGTCTTTGTTGTTTTTTCCCACCAAAGAAGAAAATCTTATTAACATGCCAGTGTGTTTTGCTGATTTTCAAAATGTTAGGCTAATGTTAGACTGTACTGAAATTTATGTACAGACTCCAAATTGTTTGTGTTGCAGAATAAGATTTTATTCTCAATATAAATCCCATTTAACAATTAAGTTTATGACTGGTGTTTCACCTGGTGGATTAATAACTTACGTCAGTAAAGCATATGGAGAAATAACATCAGACAAAGTGATATTTGAAGAGAGCAATGTGATCTCTTTATTAGATTCTGGCAGAGATACAGTTATGGTAGATAAAGGTTTTCTTATTGATGATAGTTGTAGGTTATATAATGTACAATTAATTAGACCTCCCTTTTTAAGAAAAAAATCTCAATTAACCACTGAGGAAGCTATCTTAAATGCCAAAATTGCATCAGCTAGAGTTCACATTGAACGAGTTAATCAAAGATTAAAAATCTTTAAAGTTCTTAGTGGAAAGTTAAGTTTTGCTTATGTTCCATTAGTTAATGATATATTTACAATCATATGTGCAATAACAAATAAATCAGCTCCAATTTTATCTGATGGAAAATTTTTGGAGACATAATTTATATTCATTTTATAATTCTCTTCCACTTCGGTTGACTCTCTTCTTGATATTTTCTTCTATATTCTTTTCATCATATTGATTTTAAATTTGTTTATTTGGCCAATGCCCGCTTCAGTACATGTTTCTTAAATTAATATCTATTCTTCAAAACCATCTTTTAAATTTTGTGGTTACTAGTTTTTATGAATTTCGTTTAAATGCAAATAATTTTTTTAAATCCCATTTCAGGTACAGTATGACTTCATGTATGGTTGAACCAAGGTAATTACATGAAATTAGGTGTGACCTAACAGTTCACTGTCCTGAATATTCAGTTAAAGGAAAATATAGGAATTGTAGTGGTGCACAAATATCTCTGGAAAATGGAGAGTATAGAATAGAAATATGCTTTATTATCACTAAAAATTGTACAATTTTACGGACAAAGCTTACAAAAAGTCAAAAAAATAACGATAACAATTAAAATTTACTAAAATTACATAAATCGTCAATATTCCATTATTGGAATATATTATATACTTCAGTTGTTTGTACCTAAATGTACCTACTGTAATTTTTTAGTTATTCGTTAAGAAACTCTTCCACTGAATGATATGGTCTTTCAGATTGATAGGATTTTGTCAATTTACAAAACTTCAGGAAAGAAGTTGTAGATTTAAGTACAAAGGGAGATGATTGTATAATTTTTTTGCTGAATATAATATAGATTTCTTTAGTAACTCAGTGGACGGAATCAGTAAATACACATCAAAGGTTGAATTTCTGGTGGAATAGTAATGATTAGATCTTGCCGGAAAAACATTTAGGTGTTAACAAATTAAGCAAAAAGTTTCTAAAATATATAAAAACAGAAGAGTTAAAATCCCGTGATTGTTGAAGTAGCTTCTGCAATGTGTTATTCTACTGAGACCAAAAAATACTGTATTGCTCTTTTTTGTAATTTAAAAATAACATCAGATTGGACATCTGTACTAGAACCCCAAAACGAAGGCCATATTGAAGATGAAACTTGAGCATAGAAAAATATGTTGTACATGTAGTACAGAAAACATAGCATCACTGGTACATTTATTAGATAAAAAGCTGAACTGTCTTTGTGATAGAATTTTATCTATCTATCTCTTTATCTTAATATGTAAGAATGTATATTTACTGTCAACATACTATAGAGATATTTAATAAATAAATAAAAAAATCATGTATTTTATTGTTTACACAGATGGTGTATCATATTTTTAAAATAATTATGTTTTATTTTAGACAACATGTTAAGGCAAAATTCAAAGTCGAAATCAATTTCCATAATTAAAACACTGTTGTCAAAAGATGCAAAAACTACAACTAGGGTTTTCGATAAATTCAAAACAGCCATTCCCATTTGGATTTGACCATAATATTTGTGATTTTTTTTTATTATGTATTTTTCATCTATTTGTATGATGTATTTAGAATTCTTTATTGCCTCCAAAATCGTCTTGGTTTTTCCTAAAAAAGTTAATAGTATAAAACCCATTTTAGTTAGCGAGAATCAAGCCAAAATGAGTATAAGCTTACCTGCAAATATACATTTTATTTCCAACAAGTACAGAGGTTGGTCATCAAAAAAAATTATTTCATCAGGTGAATAACTTAGCCACCTATTTGATGAGGAAATTACCATCCCACATTCCTTCACATCCATCTTTGAAATTTTCCTATACATTTCTCTTGCTGTAGCTTCAAATTTTAGACCATGCTTAACATATTTATTATATATCGTAGGTGGGTAAAAGTATTTAAGTGCTTTGGATTTCCAATCTTGTTTTGAATATGTAAATATTTCGTAACATCTACTACCAGTGATCCTTAGTTTTCGATATTTTTTCCACTCATTGGAATTTTGACGTAGGTTGATGGCAAGATCTAGATCATCCTCAAGAAAACTAGATATTTTCTCCAAGCAGCAATGTTTAACAGAAGCTACTTCAACTGCAGACAAATACAACATTATAACTGATTGACAAGCATTATCTAATACTGCTCTAAATTGACGATTATTGGGTAATATACTTTTACTTGGATTAATACCACATGATGCTGAAGGCAAACTTCTCCTACCCGCTCTAAAAAATAATGGTTTTAAAATTTTCATTTATAAAAAAAAGGCATACTAACCTGTGTTTTGCAATAGCTGAAAATGGAAGACTGTCACAAAAGAAGTTTCTAATTGCCTCTTCATCTACTGCTACTCTAGTAGATCTATCTTTAAAATATGGCATATCTTTAAAACATGGCATTTCACTTATAGGCATCGGTTTATATTTATGTTCTGCAATTTGCTTGTGTGAAATCCATGAACACTGCATTTGTGTTTGTGAAATATTTTCCATTGATTCCACGTAAAATCAAAAATTATCCTTTCATGATTGCACATTTACATACCTTATACATTTAACAAGAAGAGCAGAGACATGTTTACATTTTCCACTATTTCCTGCTTTACATGAACATGACATTTTCCTAATGTTCACACCATTAGTTAAAGTTAGGGTACCTTTAATTTCGTGGGGATTGGACTTGACTGAGCTGGACTGAAGGCATAAACCATATATTTTGATGGTGTGCTCAGAACTTTCCTCCAATTTTCCAGTTAAAATAAGATGGCCAGAGTTTAAAACTTGTTCTCCCTCTACAACACATCTTGAATTTTTAGTAACATCCGAAAACTTCATATATTCATAATAATAGTTACAATCTTTAGTGTACACTTACTTAAGATTTTTTTTTTCTTGTGTAAAGTTCACTAAAATAAAACTTATAACAAAATTGCCTATTAATCAGTAATAATAAACAATAGTCAAACTTAAAAAACCATAGATAAACGAACAAAACTACACAAAAACACATAAAACTAACGCAAACGCAATTGCAATATACAAGATGAGGTATAAACAATTATTATAATGGCTCTTAGCTCGGTTCAAATTGATACCGCATTGGCGCTGCGATCTTAATCCGAATAGTCAATACTTTTGTAAAAGTAAAAATAATATATTACATATATTCTGAACATATATTAAAAAAATCATGCTCTTTTTTTAATTTTAGAAGAAATAGTGGATCAATATAGCGAACAAGTGTTTGTTGAACACTTTAGGACGTCTAGACATATAGCAACTTCAATTATAAAAGTGAGACTTCAATTATTATAGTGAGAGGTTTAGAGAAAGTCGCTTATATAATAACAATATGGGTCGTTTTGGAAATATTTCTGCATATCATCAAGTAAGTGAAATTGAAATGTAACTACCATTACAAATAATTTTTAAATATAACTATCCATTTTAGATATTGATTTTTTTATGGTATATATGACACCAAACTTCCAGTTTTAGACATGTAGCAGATAGATTCGATATTACAATAAGTTCCGTGAATAAAATAATCAATAGGGTTACCATTAGAGATGTGTCCGACCCGCTATTTTGATATAGCACTTGCTTCGGCTACTGCTAAATGAAAATAGCAGTTAAAAATAGCTGCTACTTTAATAGCAGTTGCTTTTTTAGAATTATTCAACGCTTTCATGGTGATATAAGAAAAGCAATCATATTTGTTTGTGTTTCAAAAAGCATTTTCGTTGGTATTTAAATGTGAGTATATTAATAATAATTGTTGCTAAAATAATATATCTAAATACGGACAATTTTTGAAATGAAAAAAAAATTGTAACTAAATTCATGGTGGTTGTAATTTATAGTATTTATTTAATAGAAATATCGAGTATTTATTTAATAGAAATAGATAAGAAATCCAGTTAAAACAAACTCCGGTATAAAATGTTGCGGGCATCTGGGATTCCCCGGCTCTATACCAATAAAATATTTTAATTTATTTATGGCTGTTGGCCGGCTGGGAATCCCAAACAAAATATATAGCATAGCAATGCCCCGCATGTTCCTAAAAGACAGCCAGTAAAATAGTACTGAAAAGTAGGTGAGTTGTGTAGGACATACAGTTTTCGAAAGTTTTCAGTTTAAAATTAATAAACGTTGTTCGTATAATTCTATATTATACAAATAATAAAAGGTAAATTAAAATCAATTTTAAATTTAATAATATTTAGTTATATATTATATTTATTTAGGTGCTGCCAACCAGATTGAATTTTAAAAAATATGAGTAAAAAGTCGGAAATTTGGAACTTCTTCTCAGGTGAAGAAAATAGTAAAGCAAAATGTAACATATGCAAGTCTGTATTTTCATATAGAACATCGGTTACAAATTTAAAAGCACATATCACTCGAAAACATCCATCTGTTAGACTATGCCAATTGGAACGTGGTTATAACAGACAAGAGAAACATGAGCAACAAAAAATTCCTCAAATCTTCGGAGGTTCTTCAACTCATATCGAAGGTACACGTGATATCGATGTAATCCCTGCGACCGTCATTACTGACTCGTCATTACCATCAACTTCCAGGGCTTCATCTTCATCATCAGGCATAATTGATTCGTCCCGCTCTGAAGTTAGAAGAATACAACAGCAGGTCTTGTCCGGATACGCCCCAAAGAGGATTTCAATGACTCAACAGAAAAAATTGGATCAGCTTTTATTGAATCTTATAATCAAAGATTTCCAACCATTTTCCATGGTCGAAGATAACGGCTTTAAAGATTTTATATTAACTTTAAATCCCGCAGACAAATTGCCTACAAGAAAAACGTTAAGCAATGTTCTTCTTCCAGCAGTGTTTGAAGAAGTTCGCCTTAAAGTTTCAGATGTTTTAAAGGAAGTCGTATCAATAACAATTACAACAGACTGCCGGACGTCTCGCAACACAGATAGTGTAATGGCAGTAACAGGGCATTTTATTGATAATAAATTTCAAATTAAATCTGTTCTTTTAGAATGTGTTTGGTATGAGGGAGGTCATGGAAGTAAAAATTTAGCAGATAATCTAAGTAAAGTTATTTCAAACTGGAATATATCAGAAGAGAGTGTTTTGCTTGGTATTTCAGATAACGCTGCCAATATTAAAAAAGCTATCTCTTCAGACTTAAAATGGAGACATTTTGGTTGTTATGCACATACCCTAAATTTAATAGTGGGCGATGCATTGAAACTGATCCAAGAAGTAACATTAAATAAAGTCAGTAAAATTGTGACACATTTCAAACAAAGTGCAAATGCTAAAAGCAAATTAGATAATGTTCAGCGGCAGCAAGGTAAGGAACCCAAGAAACTTAAAAAAGATATAGTTACTAGATGGAACTCCACGTATTTAATGTTAGAAAGATTTGTAGAGTTGGAGAAAGCTATCAGAACAGCATTAGCATTAATGGATTCAGTCTCCCTACCGGTAATACCTACAGAAGAGTGGACATTCATTAAAGAATTAATAATTATCTTGAAACCGTTTTATGATATAACGGAATTAATGTCCGCTGAAAAGTACGTAACATTATCACTAGTAATTGTTATTACAAACGGATTGAAAAATGTTTGCAATGATATGTTGAGCAGCAATCAATTTTCTAATGATATAAGTAAACGTGTTATTGAAAAACTTATAGAAAGTATAACCTCCAGGCTAGGCGATTTGGAATCTAAGAGTACATTGATAGTATCCACTTTTTTAGATCCAAGATTTAAAAATGCGTGTTTTATTAAACCTGGAACTTTTGATAAGGCCAAGGAAATTGTTATTGGTTTAGTAGCTCAAAATATAAAAGTTAATTCCACATCAAATGAAGATGTAATGATGGAAGTAGATTCTGCTAATACATCCAGAACATTAGAGTCCGAAACCGAAAAGCCATTGTTCGATATATGGAAACAATTAAATAAGTCAGTTTCATCTCAACCCAAATTAAATCAAAGACCGCAAGCACGTGCCATCGTAGAAGTTAACCGTTATTTGGAAGAAGAAATGATACATAGGAATGAGGATGCTCTCAAATGGTGGGCAAATAATGCTTCTGTTTTTCCAAATTTAAGCCATGTTGTTCGAAGCAGGTTTGGTACGGTTTCAACTTCAGTTGGATGTGAACGTGTTTTTTCAAAAACCGGAATTATTATTTCAGATAGAAGAAGTCGTATCAGTTTAGAGAAAGTTAAAAAAATAATGTTTTTAAATGTAAATCAAAAATTATTTTAGTGTTTTTTTAGATGTTTATCTAATGTTATCTTGTTTATATTTTTTTACATTTTTCATTTTTTCATAATCCAAAATATTTTTCATTTATATCTTTTTAAGACTTTTAGGTTTAAGAGTTTTAGTTTCAACAACGGTACATAATATTTTTTTAATTAATATACGAGTGTTGTTAATGAAAATTATGCACTTTTTTTATAATACCTAAATACAATAATATGTAAAATACATTAAGTTTTTTTTTAAATTGCCATAAAAGAGTAATACTTGAAAATAATATCCTTATCACTCATATTTGTCTACGATTATTACGGTTCAATTGGCTCGAACCTGAATTACCGTTCACTCACAATGTCCCCAACATCATTGTCATAGTGAATCAAAATAGCAATTCACAGAGCTTGAAATAGTCGTAATCACCGAAACGCACCCAACTTAAAAATCAGCCTCGGTTCGTGTCAGCGCCGAATCGACTGCTACAAAAATAGCAGCTAATTTCCAAGCCAGTAGCAGTAGCTGTTACTAAGAACCAGATAGCAGTTAAAAAAAAGCAGTCTGCTATTTAGCAACCCATCACTAGTTACCATGTTTTTGAGTAATATATCTGGGAAATATTGACATGGCCAACAGAAAATGAGAAAATTGTGATTGAACAGCATTTTCGAGAAAATGGTTTTCCCAATGTGATAGGTAGCCATATCAAAATTGATAAACCTACAAATAAAGACTACTGGGAAAAAACCAGACATGTCAGTTTTTTTTTCAAATTTCAGATTTCTATTGTATGTTATAGAACACGCGAAGAAGGACATTTTAGAGATATTGTACAGGGCAAAAAGTAGTCTTGTCATGAGTAATAACACTTCAAAGTTTCGGGGTACCGGGAAAAAATCAGCTTTGTCCATGCGTCCAGTGAAAGAACCAGATATGTCACAAGTTTCATGGTAGATAGCGTTGGAATAATTTAAAAATTATTATTAAACAATGCGTGTTTCAATAATAGAAAGTTTTTTTGTAAGAACAAACATCTGTGAATATCGAATATCATTATTTTTCTAAATGATCAAATGTTCAACAAGACATTTATGCATTGATATAACAGAACATAATAGAAATACTCGTTTTGTTTCTTGTAAAAATATAAACAGGCATGTAGAAAAAGCATTTCTAAAACGGTTATTTCATAAAATTGAATGTAAAAAAAATGTATTTTCTATTTCAAGAAAAGAATTAAAATGTTCACGTATCGTACGAAACGTACTGGTATATTTTTGTACAGGAGTTTAACATCTTTCGGGTAAACGCGCACCGATACTACTAAAAGACTGAGGCATTTTATTCACGAGGAAGGGACGCAAGAAGAACCAGCCCAGGAACGAAAAAAGTGGAAGTGTAATAAATAATGTTGTGGGGTAGTAAATAATATGTTGTAACTTAGTTGCCCATTTATTAATCACTGCTTGTACAATCTTTCACTATTAATTAATCTTAAATATATCAGTACTTAGTTGACGCTGACGATAGATGATGCCTTACTGGCCATAGTGTCGGTATATTAATTAAGATCCCTGAGAGAATGTTTGTTGGGGCTTTTATAGTAGTCCTTGCTATATCAGCAAATGTTTACTTATTAGTATGTCAAGTTTGTTCATGACCTACGCCAAGCATGTGGTGATCGGCAATAGTGCTGACTACCAGTTCTAATTAGAGTATGTTATTTATGAATGTCCTCGATTCAAATTACTAAATATATTTATATAAACAGAATGTTAAATGTTACACGGGTATGAATTATAATATTTTATATGTGAATTCTAATATTTAGGGAATAACACCACAGAAGCAATTTGTATTGATTTTGCAAAGAATGTACCAATCTCAAATATTGCGACAAATGACGTGTACTATAAGCGCCAGCTATCAATGTACACTTAATGATCACGTCTTGTCGTCTGGCTAATCAATTTTTTACTCTTACCACGAGAGAATTACCAAAAAAGGTTCCAATTACGTGGCATTGTTTTATTACATTATATTAATAACTTTTTGGATGATGAGGTTGAGGAATTACAAATTTTTTGTGACTCAGCTGGAGGACAAAACAAAAATTTTACAATATTCCGATTCATACATTATATCGTGAATAACAAAATCCACGGGCTTCGTGAAGTAGAAATTACGTATCTCGTCCGTGGACATTCATACTTAGAGTGTGACAAGAATGTTGGACTGTGGAATCTAAAAACGCCTTTTGAAGTACCAAAATAGTTTAGAGACATGATCAGGGCGTCCCGTGTAAAGCCGTCTCTATTCATCGTCGTGAAAGTATCACGAAAAATAGTTTTGGACTGGAAATCATTTTTGGACAAATTGTATGTTCCAAAATACCCTTTTAAAACTCAGGTTTTGAGGTTGGTGCCAGATCAGAGCACAGTCGACTCATAAATCATCAATCTTCTTACAATGGATCATTCTTGTCAAGTATCTTGAAGAAACGAATGACCTCAACAACTACGGAGTTGAAGAATGGAGAATTTAAATTGCCATTACCAGCCTAATCAGGTAAGGTATAGGGTAGCACAAGAAATTATAATATTATATCCTGTATATTGTTTCAGGACTCCTCCCAATTTCAAAAGCCAAGCACAGCGATTTGATGAGCCTTATGAGATTCTGTGGTCCTGCAGCTGTGGACTTTTCCCCGTTTTATAATCTTTCGTAACAAGTAATTTATTATTATTATAATTATTATTTTTTTTATTTCTTTATTTAATGTCGGCGTCGATCTACTTCTGCGATTAAGATTATTCACCGACGCCCGGAGCACGCTTCCACCAACGGAAAATTTTGAGAGGTAGGGATCTTTAACGAGCTGTGTTACAGTAAAACTTGTGTTAACGGCCACCTGTCAAAACCAGCCACTTGTACTAGCCTGCCAGTTTCAAAGTTCCCCAAACCAAAATTTGTGGACTACAAAACCTGGTATTAGCCTGTCATTTTTAGTGACCGGTATTGACAGGTTTTACTGTATTTATTATTATCTATCATTCACAATAGAACTACTAATCAAAATAAAACCTATTTTCATTATTGAAAGCGTTGACAATTTTTTGTTTCAGATTACTGAGCTGTTCTTTCAGTGGACAAATTGCGGTTCACAAGAATTTTCTTTATTTTTAAAGAATGTAACACATTTTTTTGAATAAAAACAGTACCTACAATGCCCTTTATGTGTTTTTATCGAACAATGTTGACCCCCGAGATTTTTTATACGTTCCAACGTAAGACACGTTATAGTTTTGAAAGTTAAATATGCGTTTTTCTCGGTTTTATGAAATTTTGACATATCTGCTTTTTTCCCTGTAGTCTTCAAATGACCCTGAATCTTACATAAATAGGAAAAGTTATTATTCAATTCAAGTAAGTATACTATGCGCTAAAAGCAAATTCTTCCCACATGGATGATGATTGCTGTTTGTCTGAGAAAGATGAGTGTTGAAAATACGACTTTATTTTAAAAAAATCACAGGATATTAGGTGTAGAGTAAGTAAATCTACTGAGGGGTAAAGAAGTAGTTTTAATATGTGGATAGAATAATGATGGGTTAAAACGAAAAGACGAATCATGTAAGGAATTTGATTGCTTTCTTAATCTAAAGTGAACACCAAAATATTAGATGTCTATTGAAGGCAATTGTTTTGCTCTTTTTACTGAAATAGTGTTAATTAACTTCTTTTATTCATTTGCAGATGCAGGTTGTTTGTAACCATAGAACAAAAATTCTAGACTTGTGTGTAGGTTACCCAGGATCTGTCCATGACAGTAGAGTATTTAGAAATTCTACTCTAAATAATACTATAGAAGAAAAATGTGGGAGATTTTATATTTTAGCTGACAGTGGCTATCCCTTGAAGGCCAATGTACTGACTCCATATAAAGATAGAGGAAATCTTACTCGTCGTCAACTAAATTACAATTTAAAATTGGCAAAAGATAGGTACAAAATTGAGCATTGCTTTGGCATACTCAAGCAAAAGTTTCGACAACTGTATCACCTTAAATTAAGAAGCATTCCTTTTATGGTACATTTTATACGAGCCGCATGTGTTTTACACAATATTTGCCTTGAAGACAATTTTCATCTTGTAAATGCATTTCAGCATCCTATAGATGATAACAATCCAGATCAAAATGAGAGAATTGAAGATGATTTAAATGCAAGAGTGATTCGAGATAGGGTAGCTAATACTTTAGCACTGTAATTATTTAATTTTACTTTTATTTTGTATTAATTTTTGATTAGAAAACTCGTTATTTCATTTGAATAATTTTTTTTTAAATAAACCTGTTTTATTTTATTTAATATATAATGTGAATAGATATAAGCGAGAAATAACACTACAGTTAATGGACCAAATGAAAGGCGAGGATGTTATGCTGTTGGATTATCTTATGGTAGATAAATATTATTCTGGTGTGGACTGTAAATTATTTTTGTGTAAATAAATAGAATTATATTTAGTAACTTTATATAAACTACTTAGTACATATGAATTTGATAATAACGAAAACGTGGCATCTTCTTGGAAATTATTTTAATAATGTCTACATTATGTCACTTGCCGACTTGATCCTGTCAGATTGTTTTTTTTTTTTTTGGAACACAAAACACACCGACATGTGACAGGCTCTATGTTGCCGCACTAAACTAATTTTCTAATTAAATGTTATTTGGTATAAAAATGTCCTAACATACTCCCGGCGTTGAAGTATCTTCAAAATTTAACAAAATAAAGTAAATATCAAAGCAAAAAATAAACACTTAGTCCCGAGATAAAACACTGCGACACTATTAAACTTCTATTGGCAGTGGAAACAAATGTCGTGTAGATCTGGTGATGAGTTCATTGAAAGTTTTGATTTCAGCTACTCGATTTTCTTCATCTTTACCAGGAAATAACTTAATTATTCTTCCCATAGACCATTTGCATGGAGGTAGATT